TCTGTAAGTCAGTGTAAAATTATAGCACTGTGATTTTGGTTATAATGGTCTGTGTGATCTTTTTTTAAACTAGTTTATGAGCTTCTTGAAATGAGAGAGCTCAGCATATATCTGTATCCTCTGCACCTGGCATTGTGCTGTGCACATATACTCAGTAAATAATTATTAAATTCAAATCTGTCAGTCGACTGCTTACTTTTTCCTCAACAGTCCTTAAGCTCTCTAAGCCTCAATTTCTTGATGGGTGAAATGGTCATGATTATAGTACCTACCTTAAAGGATTGTTCAGAAGTTGAAATGAGATAATTCATTAAGAGTTTACATAGTATCTGGCACATAATTAGCTATTAATATTAAGAAGGTTACTTCTAGTTGCTTTTTCAGCCCATAACAAAGTAGAGTCAAATTGGCTTCAATTTATAGTGAATCAGACTTAAACGAGGTACATAATTGAATTAGATTCAAGCCAGTGTTATATGATAGTTGGACAGGAGAGGGCTCTCTTGTTCCAGCTATGAATATCATTAGTTATGTTGCATTCTTACATTCATTTTTTCCTTTTTGTATATCATGATATGTATTCATTATGTAGATAGAGTTAAAATAATTCAAGTATGTAGCATCACCAAGTTATAGACTTGGTAAAATTGATAGATGATGAGAGGAAGATAGTGTTATTCTGTTGTTTATTGAGAAATGGCATTTGAAGCAGAATGCCTTTTTCATCTCTATCTTAATCATTTCCTACTCTAAAGTAAATTTTAACTAGTAAATATGAAAATCTCATATGAGTTTTTAAGTTTTATTTATCCTTATATGCTAGTAAAATATTTAATGTATCATTTGGGAATTTTGTTGTATTCATTATCGTATTATATAATGATATATTCGTATCATAACTATGATACCATGTTAATCACTGCACATTCCAAGTTAAAGAAGAACTAATCTTTACTTTGTAGAAGGTTATTCAGTACCTTTAAACCAGAGGATTAGGTAGCTGAATACTCAGGATCAGTGTCGGGGTTGGACCTTTCAGATTATATATGTACATACATGTGATCTTCCTTATAGATATTTTTCTTTAGTGTTCCATATTTCAGTAGATGACACCTATGTCAACCTAAAAACTAATACTAGAAATCTGGGAATTATCCTTGATATTTTCTTTTCCCTCATTATTTATGTTTGTCACCAAATCCTAACAGTTTCATCCCCGGAGTATATATTTCAAGTTCTCTGCACCCTACTACAAACCCCTATATTTTCTCAAACAGACTACTGCTATATTCTCCTTACTGGTTCCCCTACTGTCTAACCATCCCACCTCTCCTCCCCTTAATTCATTCTCCGTAAACCAATGGTTTCCTATTGTCCTTAGGATGACAACCAAAATCCTGGACCAAAGCCAAAAGGCCGCTCTATGTAATCTGGCTCCTGTATCATAAAAAACCTTCAATGCTTGTTTTTCATCACTCTCTACCCTGCTTTCACACTCTACCTCTGTTTGGTTCTGATTTTGTCCTTAGGCCTCCAGAATAAGCCTAACCTCTTTTTTACCTACAGACTTTGGATATTTGGAAGCAGTTAGTATGTTCCTCATATTAGAGTACGACAGGGAGGAATACATTGCTTGTGCCTTTACCCTGTAGTTCTTGCACCCTCTTTGGCCTAAAGGGGCCATAAGCTTTGCTTTATGAGACCTCCTACGTAGGGACATTAGAGGAATTGTTACTCTCTGTTACTCGTCCGATTTTTTTTGTAACTTTTTCAGCATTCAGAAATATTTTCCCTGAGATCTTATGGGAGGAGGCTCCGTATGGTGGTGATTTTTTAAAAATTTCACTAATAGATCTTCAGTGCTTTCTCTTTCTGTTTCCCTCACTGGATAAGCATTGTAAAGCTGAGCATTTTTGTTTTATGACATAATTGTATGTGTTATTATCAGTTACTGAGAACTAATTCTCACCTCTATATGACCTTGGAAAAAATGTTGTGAAAAACAAGTATGTATTTGTAAACTGCTTTCAGATATGGAACATCTCCATAGGTAAAAGAAATTATGGCTTAAATTGCAGCTAATCTGTGTAGGGTTTAGTAATATGAGATTTTTTTTACAGGTGCTCATTACTTTTTAAAAAGTTTTGTGCTAGCTGTTCCAGGCTATATGAGAGCATAAGATATGACCTTTCCCAAAAAGAACCTATTATTTTAATTAGTTTTAGT